CATGGGAGGTGCTCATGCTTTCTGGATTGTCTCTGCCATGAGGAACCCTCTGCACAGTGAGGTAATAGCCGTCATCTGTCACCACTTCATGCTCCTCATAGGGGTACCCATGGTAGCGAATAATTTCGCCCTGTGAGAAGGGAAGGACAGTGTGGGGCAGGTTCACAGGGAGGTGGGAGTCTCCATTCTGGAGGATATCAGGGCTTGCCTGGGTGAAGCCAACAGTGGTTGCTCTGAGCTCTAGTGGTGACTCCTGCTGTCAGCAGAGGTTGGAGCAGTTGGCTGGGACCTCCCAGTGTCCCTTCCACCAATGCCTTCAGCTAAAATTTTTGGCAGCTGTGAATTTGCCTTGCTCCCTCAGCATGTCTGGTAAAGAAAGACCTATTGTCACTTTTCATGTTGCAATCAATGTTTGTGAGGGTGCTGAGGCACTGGCACAGGGTGCCCAGAGAAGCTGTGGCTGCCCCATCCCTGGCAGTGTTCCAGGCCAGGTTGGACACAGGGGCTTGGAGCAACCTGCTCTAGTGGAAGGTGTCCCTGTCCGTGGCAGGGAGTTGGAACTGGATGAGCTTTAAGGTCCCTTCAAACCCAAACCAGTCTGGGATTCTTAGAGCAGGGCAGCAACGACAGTGAAGCTCCAAACCTGAGACAGCTGCATTTACCAACCCTGTTGATTTCACCCAAATCTCCCACAATTTCTGCCATAAATCTCCATGTACATGAGCACAGGGAAGTAAATTCTCTAATAAAACCCTTGTACCAAACCTTGGTGAGTATGTACACACAGAGACCATCGGTCTTGTAGAGATTATGGCAATGTAGGCAGCTTGCATGCCCAAGTAGGAAAAGAAGAGAGAGAAGTCATGACTTACAACATCCATGGACGCCTCAGGACTTGCATTTGACTTTTCACTGATGCACATTACATAAGCAATGGTTACGAACAGCCACATCATGGTGCCCTGCAAAACATTGTCAGCATGATGAGCGTGAGAGACATTGACAGTACTGACACAGAAGTCAAGGCCTTTCATGCATTTCACTTAGTGCATGAAATGCATAAAAGGCCCTGCACTTCTCTTAGTGTATCAATCTGTCCACTCAACAGGTGAAATACATTTGAAAGCCTCTAGTTTGTCCTAAAAATGGCTCATTTTGTTCATTTTGAACAATGCCAGAGTCCAAACTCCATCCCATTTAATCACACACTCTCCATCAGATCACTGTATTCAGAAAAATGCACATGTATGTATACAGCTATAAGAACCTGGGCAAATCTATTTTCTGAGAAGGTGATTATAGACTATTCATTTAAAATGATGTCTCAGAGACTTGTAAGAATAGATTATTAGGTTAAACTGAGCTGAACTAATCAAGAGTAAACCACTCGATTTTCAGTTGCAGGACCATGGAGGTTTCGTTCTTAATATGTAATCAAATAATGTGATTTGGCTGGGCTCTACCCAATATGAAAGAGACACCAGGGCACACTTATGTTGGTTTTGCAAACCTGAGTTAAAGTACTGTCCCAGGAGACCTGCTGTTCATCCTGGGAAGGGTTTTGAAGTATATGCTTTGGCATGTTCCTACCACAAGCCATCTTACTATCGTTTTATTTGTTGGAGACAACAAATTGGCGACAGAAATAGTGCCTCAGCTCTTATGTGACATGCTTGAATAGGTAAATTGCAGGGAGCCCTACCCAATCCTGTCTGAATGCATGCGCCTGTGCAGGGCTGTGTGGGAAGCAGCGACCAGGGCCAGATGCCAGGGCCAGGTATTGCATCCACCCCATTGCTTCCCTGCAGAGTATCTTCCTGGGGAAAGGAGTCCTGTGAGCAGGCTTCTGTCACTTCCCAGCTATCTCTCGTTGTCCCCTCTGTCTTCTTTGGAAGGAACTTGGCTCCCATGATGCAGGAAGTGGTTTTGCAGCTGGGAAGAAGGCCACTTGTTCCCTCTGCTGTCCCTGGAGCATCACGTGTGATGTGATCCTGGAGGATCACACAGGCACCGCTGCTCTGCTGGAGGGGACCTTGGCACCCCCCTTGTCTGCCCTCCAGCCCACAGTGGAGTGTTGTCAGCATGAGGTCGGGGTGGCTGTGGCATTGCTCAGCAGAGCCCTGACACCCCCCTCACATGCCTGCACCCCACTCTGGAGGAAGAAGGGTTCCCTAGCTCCACCCTGAACCCCTTGGGCCCAAGACCCCTTGTTGCATCGCCTGTCGCTGCTGCCATCCCTGCCTTCCTCAGGGGAAGGCAGCTGAGGGAGCATGCCTACTCAACAAAGCCTTTTCACTGAACTCTGAGCCTTTTGGAAAAGCAAGGAGAGACGGAGAGCATTTTTGTGGCATAACATCAGAAGAATAGCATGTAAATTCACAGAAGAGCCTGGCCTAGGGTGGCCCTTTCCTTCAACAGCCAAGCTGTGTTGGCTGTTGAAGGAAACATTCCCTTTATGAAGGATCCCTCAGCTCAGCAGACCTTGAGAGCTCCAAGGGACCTCTGAGAGCTGCAGCAAGGTAAAACCTCTTCCACCAGCAGCATGGTCCTGGCCCCTGACAACTCCCACTGCCACTGCAGCTGGCAGAAACAACCTTCATTTGGACCCAGGACTCCTGGGGAAGCCCTGCTTTCCCATTGCAGGGCTCTTCACCTACCTGCAGCTCTCTCCTGTTGCCCTTGGGGATGGCCCCTGGCTGGCAGCCTGCACAAAGGCAGAGGAACCCAGGGAAGAAGGATTACCTGTTGTGGTACAGAAGAAGTGGGGGTGCCCTTCTTCCTGATGTCTGCCAAGCAGGAGGTCCCCGCTGCCCAAGCACGCTGCTCTCACACACCATGCATTGGGCTATTCCCTCTGTTCCACGCATTTGGGAGCGTCACGGGTTGCCACTCCCTCTAATCTCTGGAATAAGACACCCTTCCTGCCAGGGCTCGCTTGGGAATGTTTTTGTGGCACTACAGGAAGAGTTGAGAGCTGTACTGAACTGGTTATTTCCACTTGATGAGGCACGGCATCATCTGAAGCTGCCCATGACCTCTGTGGACCAGAGGATGTGCAGCCTCTGGATCTCTCTGCACCTGCAGTGGAGCCGGTGTTCAGGGTGCTCTGGGGTACATGGGGCACAGCAGGGTGCATGAGGCCAGCCTGGCTCATCCCAGCAAGCTCCTGTGGGAAACCCATCCAGCTCTCCTTGGCTCGTCTTGCTGCCTCATTGCAAGTAATAAGCCATTGCTTGGAAAAGCAAAATCTTCCCAGTCCCTATAATGACTGCTGAGGGTGCTCTTTAAAAAAATGAACAAGAAATCCTTCCCTGGCGAGGAAAGAAGCTGTGAATGAAGCTACATTTTGCTCTCATTGGCCAATGAATGCAGTTTTGGTGGGAGGATGTGTTTTTTCTTCCTGACCACAAAGGATGACTGTCTGGACCACAGCGAGAAGTGACTTTCTCTGCTGGGTGCTTATGCCCACCCAATTTACAGTTACCTCTATCTAGTCAGTTATCTCTGTGTGTGCTTATCACAGCCCTTGGTAAGGCACTTCTTATAGAATCATAGAATCCCAGACTGGTTTGTGTTGGAAGGGACCTTAAAGCTCATCCAGTTCCAACCTCTGCCATGGGCAGGGACACCTTCCACTAGAGCAGGTTGCTCCAAGCCCCTGTGTCCAGCCTGGCCTTGAACACTGCCAGGGATGGGGCAGCCACAGCTTCTCTGGGCACCCTGTGCCAGCACCTCAGCACCCTCACACAGAAGAAATTCTTCCTTATATCCCACCTGAAGTTCCCCCGTTTCAGTTTGAACCCATCACCTCTTGTCCTATCCCTACAGTCCCTGACGAAGAGTCCCTCTCCAGCATCCTTTTGCTTGTTCTTCTACAGACTGACTCCACCTCTTCCCATTGCCGTTGCCAGCTGCTGCCTGGTGGCTGGGGAGCTGCCTGCAGGGATGGTGAGGGGTGGCGTGGGCTGTGGGTGTTGTTTTTGGCACCACTGCCTTCGAGGCTGCTTCTCCACTCCTTGCCAACAAGCCCTGGCATGCTCTGGGCACCATCACCTCTTCTGCTGTTGATACCTGCCAGGTCTGGCCGAGCTGCACTTGCTGCAATGTAAACATGTGTTCTTTGGAAAGCCTACTTAATCCCACCTTTATTTGAAGCTATAATGACTGGTCTTTAAAGACTAGCTGGAGACAGTGCCAGAAGCCCTCCCTGGCTGACCCTCACAGGATCAAACCAGTCTGAATTTAACCCCGGAGGGAAAGGAGAAAAGGTGAAATCATTGTCGGGATCACATATGCCAAGATAAGAAATCACTCCCCCTTCTTCCCAGCATATATTAATGCAAATATAGCTTGGCTTCTCTCTGGGGACAGGACACCGCGAGGCACCCAGTGGAGCTTGCATGAAGTCTGCATACCCTCAACAGGGGAAGGAGTTACAGACAGGACTGTAATTTGCTGTGCTTCACATAACGTTATAGCCAGGTAGAGACCAGTGACTATAACATAAAACTGTTGTTTCATTTAAGTGCTTCAGAAAGCACACATAACATGAGACGTCTAACATCTCTATGTATCCCTCTCTTCAGTGTAAGCTTCCGGCGGAAGGCGGGGAAGAACTGACAACTGTTCACAATAAACTGCACTGTTAATGGCTGCTGGGCTATCCTGTGGTGAGAGCCGCGCTGACGGCGCATCCCGCGCTCCCCTGAGGGAGCGCGCCGGAGGGGAGCGGGAGCGGGAGCAGGGCCCAACCACCCTCAGGGCGCCGGGAGGCAGCAGGAGCAGCGCCGGCCAATCCCGTGCTAGAGCTCTTCCCGTGGCCAATCACGTGCCAGAGCTCGCTCAGTCACGGGCTGGAGGCGCGGGCGGGGCAGCGGCGGCTGGCGGCCGTTGTGCGCGAGCTGGGCGGGTGGGTGGTTGGGTGGGCTGTGGAAGCGGTTGAGTGTGTGAGGTGAGGGGTGAAGGGAGCAGCGGCGCGGCTCGGCTCCACTCCACTCCACTCCGGTACGGGCTCGTTACCGGAGCTGTGGTGCCCTGCCTGCGGGTGAGCGACACACCGGGCTGCCCCCGCCCTGCGGCCCCGCTGTGGCTCCCCGCTCCGCACTTAATACCAGAGCTGGTTTCTAACCGCCTAGGCTGTTGGTAGTAGCCAAGTTATTGTTGTTTAGGGGATAGAGCTGTTCTGATTCTTGTCCTTAAGTGGGGAACAAAGATCACGGGGATAATACGTTGTGATTTCTGTGTAGCCATCTGAGAATTGCTTTAGTAGTGTTACAGGAAGACCTTTAGTTTCACTCAAAACTTCAGTTAGGGGATGAAGGTAGAGTACTAAAGCTAATAAAATCATGGTAAAGGGTGTTTTTGAAGGGTGGCTGGCTCTTACTGATGACTTCTGTTAAATTATTTAAATGGGTTTTATTATTCTTTTTTAAAATTATATTAGTTTTAAGGATGATGCTTGGTGGAGGAGAACCAGTGGATGCCACTGCCACCACCTCTTCACTAATTTAAGTAGTCTTCATAGGTCTCGAACGGGTCTTACCTATAATAAAGGTACTGATTAGTTCAAGAAGCTGTGAGCTTTCTGCAGCAAGGAGTACTTACAGGCCAGTTTGCAGTCAGGAGTGACATGAGGTCATTTGTGGTCACTGAATCCACAACCATCAGCGCCTTGACTTTCAGAGTCAGTGCATGCATCTAAGCACCTTGTGTGCTGTCATGAACTTAGCATATGTTGTAAATAGCTTGCTGTGTATCACCAGGGATTCTGACGATTCAGACGAGAAATGCTTCAGTGGTAAGAGGATGGAAACTGCCCAGAAGTGTAAGAAAATTGGATTGGTTGGTCTTTGGGATACTTTTACTCAATAGAAGTCGCACAAGCAGAACAGCAAATTCTTTTAACAGCCTTCCATGAGCTCTTAGGATATCTATAGTATCGTATAATTCCTAGCTTCTATACTGGCATGCAGTAGGTGAAAATAAGATGGTTAATTTAATGTACTTTTTAAACAGTAATGTCTTTTTGTATACCATGAAGTACCTCAAACTTCTCTTAATTTTTAAGGTGAGAAAGTGATAGGAAGAGAGACGCTGAGAACTTTGAGAACTTGCAGTGGAAGTGAGTGGTGTGGATTACTTACTGCTGAGGAAGAGGGCTCAAGTGTTTGTGCGATGGAATTGGAAAAGAACAGTGATGTTAAAAGCAAAAAAAGATGTTTCAATCAGACCTTCCTTCTTTCTTCTTACTCTGAGAAACCTGAGCACATGCTCATGGGAGATGTTGCAGCAGGACCCAACCACTCTGGTTTTGGCCAGGCATGTTCTGCCGATGTTCCTGAATTAAAGTTGTCAGAGGAAAATTTACCGTACTTAATTTCATATTCAGATGCAGATCTTGAAATGGGTAATAAAAAGAGGATGGGAATTTGTTATGCAAAGGTAGATGAAAGCAAGAAAGAAGCTGATGGGTTGGAAAGCGCATCTGATGATGCGCACTTCAATTGCAGGGGGTGTGATCATTGCAGACAAAGCTATTTGAGTGAAGATTCACAGCTGGAGTATCTCAGTGCTCACGAGCAAGATTTTGATGATGAGAATAGCTCGAGTAAGTTTTCTGAACTAAGGGGAACTACAGGAATTGAAACCTTAGGTCTGATAGACTCCATTTGTGAAGTTCCAGGGGGTGGAGTCATACACGAACAAAATCTCACAGACCTGTTAGAAGATTGTGGTTCTGCTTCTGAGTATATCATAGATGACCAGACCTCCCCAGAAGCAGCTATGCCAGAGCTTCCCCACCTGCTTCAGGACTCTCTGTCTCTGCAAGATTGCAGTGGCATGACTTGTGATCATCAGGAAGAGCAAACAGAGTATCATAGTGTTGTTTGTGGAAATACACTTGAAAGTCATTCTCATGGGGTCTGTCCAAATCTGTTTGTATATGACAGTTTAGAAGATGGAGAGGTGAAAGACATATCACTGATTGATGGCACGCTGCCACCCCAAATGGCTGTAACCGAAGTAATGTCTGCAAAAACTGGCAGACACATCGACAGCATCTCAGCAAAGCAAAGCAATCCTTCACTGTCTCTGATAGAAAGGGTCCCTGTAGTATGCATGCAAGTCTGCAAACATGCAGAGGACTTGGATTTCTGCAGTTGTGAAGAATCTGGCATGTGCACACATGGTACCACCTGCACTGACTGCACTGCAAAGGATGCTGAAACCCATATTGCAATCTCTGAAGTTCTCACTAACAAGAAACCTTTTTTTTGTGTGGAACTTGCAGATAAATCCTCCCTTGGAAATCCCAACTCTCTGAACTCAGAGCTGGAGCATTGTGAAAGCTTGATAAACACTGCCTGTGCCTCTGCAGTTAACCAGGTTGTTGATGTGAGTTCCGATTTTAGAGCTTGCTTTACAACAAGCAGAAGTACCTGTGCTCAGGTTCGTCTCTTGTCCAGGGCTATTAATACAGAGATAACGATGAACACATCTCGATGGATGGGATGGTGCTGTGAAAACTGTGCAGATGTTGCTTGTAATACAGACTGCTCGTATGAAGCTGGTAGTACAGAGGAAATTCATTCACAGGTTACTGACAAGCTGGAAGAGCCCTCAGATGGCGATGCTGCAATAGCTGAAAGAAGTTCACAAATTCAGGTAATTACAAAAAGAACCCAACTGACAACCAAAGAATTTTGATAGAACTATTTTTAACTGAAAGTTGCTCACAACCAGTCCATACAAATGTTAATCCAGACCCTTTTGAAATATTATTTTTGTTTAGGAACAGCAGGAATCCAAAACTGAGACAAGTGGCAGTGACTTACAGATAAGCACTGACAGGTGGGTTATAAATTGTTCTAGGTTCAGAATTCTAGATGCTAGATAAGTTATTTATTTTTGTTATGATTAGAAGGTTGTAACTTAGCAAAACTGACGGTATTAAAAGACTGCTGGGCAGTTGTCGTGGTTTAAACCCAGTCAGGTAACTCGTTCACTCACTTCCCCCCTTCTTTCCCTCCCCCTACTCCCGGAGGGGCGGAGAGGAGAATCGAAAAGAATGCAACTCCCACGGGTTGAGATAAGAACAGTTTAGTAACTAAGGTATAACAGAGATCACTACTGCTACCACCAGTGATAATAATGATAAAGGAAATAACAAGGGAAGAGAGTACAACACCTCAGCACCAGCCGACCGATAACTTGCCCCCCCCCCCCAGCCCGACCAAGCTCTGACCCATACCTCCTCCAGCCCTGCAGACCCGCAGCCCTTCCGGCTAACTCCCAGTTACATCCTGGGCATGACGTGCTGTGGTATGGAATACCTCTTTGGTCAGTTTGGGTCAGGTGTCCTGTCTCTGCTTCCTCCTGGCTTCCCCTTCTCCCTGGCAGAGCATGAGGCTCACAAAGTCCCTGGCCAAACCAAAACATCGCTATCAGCTCTGTTCCCAGGCCGAAAGTCAAAACACTGCATTGCACCAGCTACCAAGAAGGGGAAAAAAGATTGCTACTGCTGAACCCACGACAGCAGTGGCTCCTACGCTAGAGGGTAGGAGGGACCTAGACAAGTGAGAAGCATGAGCTGAAGACCTCCTGAAGTTGAGCAAAGACCTAGACATCCTCCGTCTGCAGTTGCAGACTGGCCAAGAACAAGTTGAGTGTAAGTCAGCAGTGCCTCTGTATGGCAAAGAAAGGAAACCATGTCCTGAGGCTGCATTAGCAAGAATGCAGCCAGTGGAGGAGGGAAGTTTTGATTCTTGTCAGTTGGGTGCTTGTGAGGTTGTATCTAGAAAGGTATCTCCGGCTCTGGGCCTTACAGTATAATAGACTGGCTGACTGGGGGAAGCCCACTCGAAGGGCCAGAGGAATGGTGAGAGGAGAATCTGATGTGTGGGGAGAGCTGAGTTCAATCAGAACGTAAAATACTAATTGAAGGCTTCAAGGTTTTATTTATTATTTTAAAGGCTGGTACTCCTTGATGAACAAGCTGTGAAAAATTCTGCATCAACTGACTGTCAGAAAATACTGGAGAGAGCAACTGAAGCAGAATTGCAGATTCTGAATGCTCATTTTCATATGTGTTACCAGCACTGCTTGAAGATTTACAAACTGGCTCTGGAGGAAAACAGATGTTTTATTAGGCATGTACTTTAATGTCCTTTTAAATGAAATGGATAACTTAGTTAAAAGGCATGGGTTTTAAATGTTACTGAGGTATTCTATCTGTAGCTTGTAATAGTCTTTATAGTTAGCATTGTTGTCGAAAAGAGTTTACATTCTGGTAACTGTGAAGTCTTTATTTTCGGCCTGATTTTTTCTGTAGCATACACAGACCCAGCAAAATATAGTTTCCAGGAATTACTTTCTCTACAGGAGAAATAGTATAGAGAGTCCATTCAGGAGTGAATGCGATGCATAGAGGGGGAACTGGGGAGGAAGTGGTAAATAAGAAATGAGGTGAGGCAGGGAGGGGGTGGTGATTGCAAACTCTAGGTGGTAAAGTATACACCCTGTAGTGAATCTGGAATTCAACCAAGAAGTCCTGCCTTTGAACACTTTAGTGTGCCATGGATATTTATAAAATCTCCTTAACATAGTGTCTGCTCTGTAGCTTAGGAGAGGGCTCAAGAGAGCTACTAATGTGTTCAAGGCCAGGTTGGATGGGGCTTGGAGCAACCTGGTCTAGTGGAAGGTGTCCCTGCCCATGCAGCGGGTTAGAAGTGGATGAGCTTTAATGTCCCTTCCAACACAAACCAGTCTGGGATTCTGTGTTAGGAGTGAGCTCATGTTCTTACATGATGTAGAGGAATCTTTAAAAACTCTGAAATATTTGGGCAAATCTAGAAGCAGTAAAATAAAAGTCTAAGTTCATCTTGTTTTCTTACACATTTTTTAACAGATTTAATGAAAAATCAGAATTAGATTCATCTCTCTCATTGGTTTTGGAAGAGCTAGAAAAGAATTACAACAGTATGAAAATGAAAATAAAAATGGGTTCACCTTTAAGTGCACTTTCTCCGCTATCAGTTGAGATGAAGTTTTTCCAAATCTACTCTTCTTATGTCCCCTCCAAGGTAATTTCTTAATTGCTTTTTGTTTCCAACAGAAATTCTTTTCCTCCAGAAAACTAAGACAAATCTTTTCTTTGTTTGACAGTTGTTCAGAGAGGATCTCTGCACTGAGTAAGTAGTTCTCATTTGTGGTATGTTTTAAAATAAGGAAGTGAGTTTAAGAGAAGTTAATCTTACATGTTGTTTGTTTCAGGATGTATCTTGTTTCTCCAAACTGTTTAGCTGAAAAACTTGCATAGCACTCTGCGTGCAGTGATTTAAGGATATTTTCACTCTGCAGTGTTCTAGTCTGCAAACTATGCAGCTGCATTTTTACTATCTTTATAGCAATAATTTTCAATTTACAGATAACTTTCGTGGTTCCCTGCTTTCACTACTGAAGTCTTTGTCTGTAATCTTAATGCTATCTGTGTTAAAAAAACCTGCAACCTCAAACCCCAAAGAACCAACCAACCAAAACCCCACAAAACCTCTGCCAGAATAAAAAGACTTTGCTACTAACGAAGATAATATTAGGCATACAAGCAGTTGTTCTGCTGAGATTATAATGCAGTTAGGAAGAAAGAAAAATCACTTAAGGTTCCAGGAAGGCACATGGTTCTGCACATTTAAGAACCATAACCTGTTACTTCCTGTAAGTGGATATTAAAACAAATTCATCAAGAAGTTTTTATTGCATCAGGTAAACAAGTAGTGATCTTCTTCAAATTTCTTGTTAAGCATTAATTTAATCACAAACTGCTCAGAGATTTCAAATTGTAAAGACATCCATCAAAACATCACGCAGGAAGCCATCTAGGTATAAAAGAAAAACAACCTGACATAAACCTAGAACATAGTTTTATCTCTCAGGGTGCAGCCAAATGCCTTAAATGAAGACTTCAGAGTACTTGGTATATCACTGTAGAATTTAAAACAAAAAAAAATGTGCCATATTTTGTATAAAATTCTTGGCACTGTTTTAGTTCTGTTTCAGGCAAAAGAAAATCCGATTCTAAAGCATCAGAACTGCAAGAAAGGAAGATTTCTGACACCATGGTACAGACTTCTTCATTACTGAGTTTCATAGACATTAATTTTGTGAAGCATGATCTCCTTTTAGGTATATGCAAATACGAGCACAGTCTGAAGAGCTCAGGCAGGGATTCTGTGTCAGTAATTGCCAAAGCAGCTCACATGACCAGAATTTTGATGGTCCTTTCAAAATAAAGTAACTTGGGGGGTTCTTGAAGACAATCAGTAGGTTAACTATTAAAAATGTACCTGTTTAATCAATTAATATTTTGAAGCTCAGAAAAATAATGTATAATGAGCTGCAAGTGCTGTGACATGTTTGTAGGACAAACCACAGGTTGAAGGTTTAAGTGATGGAGGTGAGCCAAGTAACTCTACTTCATCCAAGACTTTGGAAGAACAACCTAAAGATCAGGGTGAGGAACGTGGTAAGCCATCTGCTTCTCATACAAGTATTATTTGTTGGTTAAGTTGTTAGCAAAATCCCAAACCCCATGTAAAACATATATGGATACTCGGCTGTGCTTTCTGTGATGGAATGTTTAACATTATATCAGCTCTCTCTATATCTATACTTGACATATTGGAAACAAAAAGTTGCTACTTAAATAAGAAGGGAAAACTGGTATGTGTCACCTCTTTGTAATCTAGTATCAAGTCATGTAGGTAGTTGGAATCTTCTTAAGCACAGAGATTTGTTATTTATTCATATGACATATTATGGTCTGAATTTTTACACACTGAAATTTATTTCAACCGTCCAGGCTGTGTGAAAAATGAAGAAGGGAATGAAGATTGGTTTGATGCTAAAGAGAACTTGACAGTAGCAAATTTTTCAGTAACAGCCAAAGACACAAAAAAGCAACAAGAACAAGACACAGTTGATTTAAGAGGTGAGGTTGTGTGCTTTAAGCTGCTGTACCTAATGTTGGTTATTTGAATATTGTGATCCTTCCAGAAGCATAAGTAAGCTTGGAAAAAATGCTCTCTAGGTTTTCAGATTCTTTTTCATTGACTTGCCATGTATCCTTGTACAGATATTCAGCTCCCTTCACCCACAATTTTCCTTGAAAACTTCACCTACAGTGGTTAAACTCAATTTAGTAAATGTCTAGCCAGTCACCTAGCTGGAAATCTTTCTTTTTTTTTTTCCCGTTCCTCCTTTTTCTGCTCCCTTCTCCACACTGACTTCTGAAGAAGGAATGGTCTGTGTTTGGATGCTTGGGTCCCAGTGATGGGCTTTCTGAAATCTACTTAGATGTTAGCTTGAACTGGAACAAAAATAGTAACACTTGCTTTCTTACATTCATTGTTAGGAGCAAAGAGTGGAAGTGAGTATTCTTTTCTTCATGTTGATGACCTAAATTCCTCAGTGTCAGAGGTATGTCTATTCTTATTTACACAGTGCAGTAATGTCTTGCCTCTTTCTGAATTCTTTCGTATTATACACTTGCCACAGAATATTCTTCTGTTTTGTAGGCTGATCTAAGATCACATTTCCAGAAGTATCATATCTGTGACATTTTTGTCTCTGCGGAATCTAATAACTGCAGGTATATTAATGGAAGTTTTACTTGTTTCAGATTATTTTTTTTTCTGTCAAAGTAAATCATGGGAGAGAGGACGTAGTTGTTCATTCATTTCAGTAATTAACAGAGATATAGATAGGTCGACAAAAGCTTGTCATTCCAGACAGATTTTCACCTTATGAGAAGTTGAGCCTGAAATTTTCCGTTGAGTTTAATGGAGATACAGTTAATGCTCAAAAGCTGAGAACTGTCATGTGTTATTACTGAGAATAATTTAATGTGCTTTACTTAGTTTCTTTTTTCTTTTTTTCTTAAATTTTATGCCTTAGATGCGCGCTTATTTCCTTTAAAGACATTAGTAAAGCCAAGTTAGCTGTAGAGGAAATGAACCAGAAAAAGATAAAAGGAAAAGAAATAACTGTTAGAATCGTAAATACTGTATCAGAGAGTAAATATATGGTTTCCCAAGTGCTTAAAAATAAGCTTTCGTGTGAAATCCAACCTGCTGAGAAGAGTCAGAGAAATGATCAAAGTAACACACTCACTTCAGCCTCCAATTCTGTGGAAGCCCCTGTCACTGCTTCTGCTTCTGAGAAAATAACTTCTTCAAAAACCTCTTGCTCTACACATGTACCTTCAGAAACGAAGTGCCCTGATGGGAAACCATCTACTGAAGATCCTTATTTGCTTGAAGTCAAACAAAAGGTAAATAATTATTACTAAGGATCCTTCATACGGCAAATCAAGAACTTTAAAACTTATCTTGTAACATGTTGCATTTTTAGTGTGTAGAGAATGATGTTAGGATAGGAAAACATACTATGTGTCAGTAATAAATTCCTGGCATGCTGCTGCAGAAGAGAGCACCAGTCATTTGCTCCTGCATCAAACTCTGATACTCCATGTGTTTTTTCTTAATCCTAAACCAGCTGGGAACCCAGTAATCAGCACTGAGTTTTCATCTTGCTTTTCTCCTGAGTTCCCACTGGTAATGCTTTTTTAAAGTGAACGTCCTGTAATGTTATACAAGAAAGATTTTGGGATACTGGAGGGGCAGCTATTGGGGGTTTTAATATAAATCTAAGAAACATCTCTGTTTTAGTATTTTATATTCACTCAGCTTGGTCCTTGGAGAATAAGGCAGTTAGTAATTGCTGGTGCTGCTTTCATAAACTATACAGATATGCTACCTTTGGGGATTTAGCTTTTAAACATTCTAGGCCCCTGGGAAATGTATATCTGATCTAATTCAAAGTAGTGGTAATGTCAGTTACATATAAATAATAGAATCATAGAATGGTTATGGTTGGAAAGGATCTTAAGATCATTCAATTCCAACCTCCTGCCATGGCCAGGGACACCTCACGCTAAACCATTTCACCCAAGGCACTGTCCAGCCTGGCCTTGAACACTGCCAGGGATGGAGCATTTACCGTTTCTTTAGGCAGCCTGTTCCAGCGCCTCATCACCCTCACAGGGACAACCTTCTTCCTTACATCTAACCTGAACTTCCCCTGTTTCAGTTTGAACCCATCACCCCTTGTCCTATCACTACAGTCCCTAATGAAGAGTTCCTCTCCAGCATCCTTTTAGCCCTTTTTAGATACTGGAAGCTGCTCTGAGGCCTCCACACAGCTTCTCTTCTCCAGGTTGAACAGCCCCAATTTTTTCAGCCTGTCTTTGCATGGGAGGTTGTCCAGCCCCCTTATCATCCTCATGGCCTCCTCTGGACTTGCTCCAATAATTCCATGTCCTTCTTACGCTGAGGACGCCAGAACTGTACACAGTGCGCCAAGTGGGTTCTGCATGTAGTAGTTTTATTTCTAATAAATAATCTATCCAACACAACCCATTCTATAATGTACAGATTGGATAATATGACTGACTGGTTGTATCAGAGTAACATTGAGCTGAATCTGTCGCTGCCATATATTTGTTTTCCATAACAGGAATATTTATTAGTAGTAAAGAGATGTATTACTTACAAAAATGAGTTGAAGTATTGTACTTATTTGATGCAATTCTAGGATACTGGAGAAAACTTCCTGTTCAAAACATCTTACTCCAATAAGTCATATGATGTCTTTGTTTTACCTGATAATTTGAACTTGAGCAGTTTTACCAAATTAGTTGAGAAACTTAGAGGACTTCATCCACAGGCTAGCAGGTGAGAGGATTTGGATTTCTTTCTGCCTTTATTTCTAATGGATCAAATATCCATGGTAACTAAGTCACATGCACAACATGTTATGTAAACAGTTCTTTCTTTTCTTCATCTAGAGATGCAATTTTGGCTGCTTTGCTGGAGGTGAAGAAAAACAACAATGGTATCCTAAGTGGCTTGTCCATCAATACCATTGTGGCAAGGACCTCTGCCATTCTAAGGAAATCCAGTAAATAAGTGGGTATTCTAGCCTACAGAAATACATTGAAATACCTTCCCCCCTCCCCCCAAATTTGTGTAGCTGTATAGCCTGAGTAGATTAGTAAGTAACTTAGTATAAAGCTCTGAAAGAAGGATGTGAATGAATCCACGGAAGCAATAGCTTCTCAGCATTGCTAGCTGTTTAGCAGAACATCTGTAAACAGGCTGGCTTGCTAGCTCTTTAAGTATATTGCTGGGTTTATTATGTCAACTATGGTACTGATTAACTTAGTGGAGACTGTCAAACATTCTGTACAAAGCTGACACCTAATGGCCAGTCCTTGTGTAGCAGTTCATAAAGATAGCACAGCACAGGCTCAATTTTGGTTTAAAACTTGAGGATTTCTCTGATGGATGAGTTCTGGAGTAGAAATCTTAACAGAATAAGTTTGTATTTCTTTTAGGTTTTTTTTTTTTTTCATGCTAAAGGACACCTTATAGGATGACACAGCACGGGATGCTGCAGGAAGCTGCAGCAAGCTGAACATGCTAAAAACACAGCCCAGAATTCCAGGGGTATACTCCTGCAGAAGACATCCTGGAGTTGATGCTTGTTTCTGTCTCCTAATAAGCCTGGTATTCTGCTTACTTTAGGACTGCTAGCAGTGCCACTATCAGGTTTCCTGCACTGTCCCAGATGTTCTTAGCAATGCTCCAGCTTTACTTTTGCCTACAAACACAATTGGTACGATATTTATTCTTCCACGTTGTTTCCTCCCCAGACTGCACCAAATTCTTGACGCTTTGATTTTAGTCTCAAAGCCCCTGTTTCAAGGATGTCAAGGAGTCAGTCTGGCTTTAATCAATACCACCTCTTCCAAGATGAGTAGCATTACTGCTGATGATAGTTTTACATATCTGGGTATCTTTGCCACCCATTCAATGTAGCTTTTCAGACTGAATTCTCTAGTCAGATGCTTGCACACATGTTACTGTAGTACATGAGTAAACCACAACACAGCCTTAACTTGAACAGAACTGCTGTACCTTAGATACTAGAACTGTACTAAGAGTAGAGCGGTTCTGTCCAGTGAGACAAAACAGGAGCTTGGGCTAGAAAAGCTTCCATAGATGCATTAAATATACAAATAGATGCTTATAAGTCATTAACCTCAGTCCTTGTCAGAAAGACTGACTGTAGATTGTGTTAAATACACAGAGGCATGGGATAGGATTTTACATGCAAAGCAATGAAGAGCATGAAAGAATCTTAACCAAGATTCATGTTTGTCTGATTTCTTTTTGAAAGGATTAGTGTGGCATAAGTTTGTTACTTTGCGCTTTGACTGCCCTGTGAGCTTTTACAGATGCCTCTCTGAATCAACATAAATTTGACAAAAGAGAACTCCGTATTAATCCACTGACTTGTCCAGGGCTGCAGATACAGATGTACACTCATAAAATAAAATCTTACACTTGGAAATAGTTTTAGTTACTAAGGTTTTAATGGCCTTGAATGTGTTGTGCTTTCCCTGTCAAATGATTTGTTTGGTATTTTTTAAATGGTGTGTGGGCTTTACAGTCATTATTCCTATGATAGCATTTTGTTCTCTGTTGCTTTGCTAAAGAGATGCTGACCTATAACAATTTTTACTTCCATCATGAGGAAGCTGTGAAAAAGCCAGGTTGTCAGTAGGTAATAGGGAAAAGAATTCTCACCTTTCCATAGTAAGAAACATGTAATATGTTTAAAAGATTTTGCTCCAAGCTCATCTGTCCTAATTCTGGTATGCGTATAGCTTCAGACATTCCTGAAGGGTAAGTGTCCATTGAGAAACACCACCTTGGAGCCTTATGTTCCTGCAAACTGATGAATGTCCGGAGTTGTACAGATAATAGTTTTGTATCAAGCTGTATTACAGTTTTATATCAAGCTATATTACACAGTATGTAATGTATAACAACTTCAGCTTTAAAGTAAAGCATGATGGAATTTTGCTTTTTTATTTGGCTGACTTAGCCTAGAGTCGGATCTGAATGTTTCTAGATCTTGTATATTTGTTAAGTTGGAAGGAGGAACTTCATTGGAAGTTGTGTTTTGGACTGGAAAGTCCTTTTATTCTCATTAGGGAGGGGCTGTCACATTTACTTGAACAGCTCCCTCTAACCTTCTTCTGTTTTCTAAACGTAATGGTAGGCAGCAGTTAACAGGAGTTGTGGTGCTATTAAAGTATTCAGTGCACTATTAAAAACGGCTTTTACCTTAAATATTACCCAACATCCAAAGCACAACTAAAACAGTGCTTTGAGAAACGTGAAACGCATTGAGTCTATGTACTCCTAAATGATGGTTTGGGAACCTAATTTTGAATTAACTGAATTAATAAAAAAATGCCCCCAAGTATGATTTGTTGCACAAAGATGATATACTTTATTGTACTTACTTCTTTCTTCTGGTTGTTGAAGCTAGGAAGCCTAATTCTGCTGGGTATTTCTGCACTGCCTAGCAAAACTGTTAAAGCTTCTAGTGTTTTTTCTGGGGTATTAAAACTGCTGATGTTCCTTTTAGTTCAGTTTGAGTGTGTACAAACAGAATTCACCTGCTGGTGTGCTTTATTAGTATTTCTTGTTTTCTTTTTAAGTAGATGGCTTTCCAAATATGAAGAATTGATCATCTCCCATTGGAAGATGAAGATTTTGCAATTTCCAGACTTCAGCTTGTTCTGGGATTGTATTGTGTTTCTTGTTTGGTTTATTTCAGCAGATCTTATTGCAAACTCAGGTGGCATCACTGTTTCATGTTCAGTTTTATCCAAGAGAATATAACCCGAAGGTCAGTTTGAGGTGTTTTTCTGTTTATGCAGATATTATTCATCCCAGTTTTGTTGTTCCCCATAGTTGGTTCAAGCATTTCAGAATGTTTCCCTAGGGTAGATAGATCACACTTCAGTGGAACGAGACTCCTAATATTGTCAGGGCTTTTCTAGGCTGCAGTACAAAACACCCAGCTCTGGCATGCCACTTAATTTTAGACAGGTAGTAGCTTCTAAGATGTTAACAAATAGCCAACATGCTTGTGCTTTCCAGATAATCTGGTTCTGAATAGTCTTGTTGAAATTCCCTATATCCTTTGAACATGAGGGAAGCACGGAGGAGGCAGCAGGGGCTTTACTGGAGAAAACGAGGCTTTGGAGCTGGCAGTGCTGGTGCATTGGTTACCTAACGCAGTGCTGCAGCAGAGTCCTCTCAGGTCCCATTTTTGTCTCAGGAGCATGTTGCATGCTGCAGAGCAGTGGTAGGGCTTAAACAGCTCCTTTAGGATGCAGCCTGGATTCCCCCACTCTTAACCCTCTCGCCCTAAACAGGGCATTTTCTTATCATATTCCACTTGTGTTGTGGAATAGCAGCGAATGGGCTTCTAAATCCCTTTTTGTGTGTCCCATGGTCTGATATAGTGGGAAGCGCACACCCCCTGAAACTTTTGGGTTGGGTTGATAAAGGGATATACTGTACAGAAGAGGTCTAGATTTTAAATCCTCTTCTGACAAAGAAAGGCAGCTTCAGTGTATGTGTCTAGTCTGGGAGTGAGGAGAATTATCCTTGATTGACACAGATTCATGCTGTGATATTGCAGGAAAGACATGCTGCTATTGTACATCTCTGTTTCATTGTTGTACTTAGTTCTAGATTCCAGCTGCATTTGCTGTTGAAAATAGCAGCAAATGTGAATAAAGGCTAAAATTCCTTCTTCAAAAAGTTGTGCTGGTGTTCTGCTGCTTCCAGTTCTCACCCCTTCCCCCTCAGCAGCCCCAGTGTAAGTAATGCTTCCAGAACCCCAGCCTTGTCTTCAGCAGCCAGTACTTTAAACTTGGTTCTGAAGGTACAGCTGAGGTCCTCGGTTTCTTCCCTGTTCATATCAAGCTGAAAGCAGCCAAAGACTTTGCTCTACATTATTAACAGCACATGCTGCTGGTTGGGTTCCCCAGACATGATTCTTTAATTAGGCAGGAGGTGTTGTTAATAGTTTAGGACAGAACTGGCTTTCCTGGCATGCAAACTGTTTTGTTTCTGTTGGGAAGGCAGAAACATGGATGGATGATGTGAAACACTCAAGTTAGCACCCTGTGCTGGTCATTCCTGTTTCCTTGTTTCTCCCTTTGAAAGGAAGAGCTAACTTAAAATGTTAGAGAACAGATTTAGGGGGCAATGACCTCCTGCAGCTGGAGGCCTCACCCTCTATTGGAACACTCTGTTATCAGCTGCAGGTGGGGTTGTACAAGCTCTGTCAGGATTTTCCACTCAGTTAAAGCAAGCAAAAAATCCCACCCAAACCCCAAAACATTTCTTTTAAAAATTGCATTGCCTCTTCTGTGTTCATATTCAACACTGTAAAAGAAGGTAGGTTGGATTTTTTAGCCTGAGGTTACAGAGAAATTACAGAAGTGCAGGAGGGCTAAGGAAGATGGGTGAGAAAAAAGGGTTTCTGGGTGCTTTGTTTTGTTCCCTGTCCCATGGGTCTAGACATGCAAATGGCCGTTCCACCGGGAGGAGATGGAGCTAATGCTGCCTTCCCGCGAGGTGGACTGGGCTGATCTACACATGGTGAGCTCTGGAACACTACCACCAACATGGCAATCCACACTTTGCCACCTAAAACTCCCATCTCTGTACTGCTGCTCAAGGCAGTGCTTTCAGGTGCCCCAGAACCCAGCTCCATAAATTCAGATGTTCAGCCCTGGCTCACACACCTAAGGTTCCAGGACAGAAAGCTATTATTGGGCATCACCTACACATGGTGAGCTCTGGAACAGTGCCACCAACATGGCAATCCACCCTTGCTTGACCACCTAAAATTCCATGGCAGGAGGCAGAGGGTGAAAGAACAGTCTGTATGGCCTAGGTTAAACTAGGTGTAGGTGGCCTTTGTATCTGGGATGGCAGGTTTTGCCTTTCCTGTTCCTGCCTCCCCCAAAATCCAGACCTCGTATCAGAATTGGTAATAGTCATCCCACCATTATCACTGCACGCTTTCTCCCTCCTCATACAGATTATGGGTAGAGGAAAGGAATCTCAGGAATGACAGTGAGTGCTCCAGACCCTACTTACATCTCCACATACAGAGCAAGAACACAAGCTTCAACTCTGACTTCAACTGGAAAAAACGTCCTTACTCTCAGGAGGTCTCCTATCATCCCTCCACAGGTACAGGTAGGTCACCAGAAGAGCCCCTTTGATCTAGGCTTAAAAAGGTAACAAGTAGCTTGCCAGAGATCAGGATAACAAGAAGCTCTGCCATTGTGCTGTGAACAGACTGAGCATTTCTTGGTGCAATCCGTAGGGCAAAAGTTAACCAGCATGTGTTAAAAAGAACATGCTCCAGCCTTTTTTATTAGGCGATAGAAGCAGTGTGAAAAGCGCCCTTGGCGCCAGAGACTATCATCTAAGACCTCATTCGGCCTGGTGCATACCGGCGTCCCAAAGTGACCGGACTGCCTGCCCCTCCGGAAGGGGTCCACGCACCAGCCCACCCCCGGCCCTCAGCCCAGCACCCCCCACCCAGCCCGGCCCCTGCTTTGACCTCAGAAAACCCCAACGGGGGCTCGTTTCTAAGACCGAAGGCGCGGGACTCAGGCTCTGGTCCAGCTCGATTTTCCGTTCTGTGGCCGGGAAATGCCCCCTGGGTCCGAGCTGCAGAGCCCCGGGTCCCGAGCACCCAAACACCCCCCCTGAGATCTCAGAACTCCCTCCCGAATCCCAAAGCTCCCTCCTGAGCCCCGAATCCCCGTGTGCTGTGGACGGCCCCATGGGGCCGGGCGGTGCTTGCGAACTGTGTGGAGGGACCCGCGGGGAGCGCCCTACTCAGGTTGCCTTGGGCGGCTCGGTCGATGGGCTCCAGCTCCGGCCCTCCGGACTTTATTCCCCAGTGCCCCGAGGCCCGCCGCTCCTCTGTGCACTCCCCACCGGCCCCTGGCCACCCGCCGGGCCGCAACAGGTCTCCCGGGCCCTGCTCCCTGGTGCCGGCCCCAGGCCGAGCTGCCCCTACGGCTCACCTGGGCCCCGCCGCGGGAGTCCCAGAGGAGAGCACAGACACCAGCGAGGACACAGACTGATAGAC